GTGTCAAATATTAACTAATTATTGTTTATATTTTTTATTGTAAAACTTTGTAAGATTGTTGAATAAAGGCTATTATTATTATTATTATTATTATTATTCGGGGAATTTCCTAACCCACCTGGCGTCGCTGGCCAGACAAATGTGACCAGCCCATTGTCACTTCAGCCTACTAATTTTTCTTACACTTACCTTTAATAACACCATGTAGTCTGACCAATTTGTCAGATTTGACTAAAAGAAAAATATTTTTATTAATATACACTTTTTCATAAAGAAACCGGAAACAATACGAAAAATCAAATCAAACTTACGTTTTTGTCCGTAACATAAATAAGGATAACAAAACGATGCAGTGCCGTCTAAACAGAAACACTCTTTGCAATTTTTATAGTTTTCTGAATTAAACCAAGTTCCAGGGGCACATGTTGCATCTATAATAGAAATTATAGGAAAACAATTATACTTAAAAACACACAGAAACCGCCTGATAATATAATATTTAGTTTCCACGTTTTTCTATGAAGTAACTAAAAATATAGAATACTAGCTGTTGCTTGCGACTTTACGCATGGAGTTTAAAAATATAGCCAATGTTACTCATAGATTAAATACCTTTCTGACGGTGAAAGGATTTTTAAAAGTAGTTTTTGAGTTATTTCAATACTTAAAAAATACAAATCTTTTCTTTTTATAAAATTATAGCTTTTGCCCGCGACTCTGTCCGCGTGGATTAAAAAAAAACTAAGTAGCCTATGTGTTCTTTCAGACTATTCTCTACATCTATGCCAAATTACTTTGAGATCCATTCAGCCGTTTAGACTACAAACTCTAATAAACATCAATCTAAACTTTCGCATTTATAATATTAGTAAGATAGGTAGCAAATTGCAATCGCCTTCTTAATCAACATCCATTTCTAATACACGCAAATAATTCCATATTATTCCGTATTATAGTTATTATATTATTTTTTATATAATAGCATATAAAGAAATACCTTTATCTTCACAATCAATAAACTGGCACAAATATAACAGTCCGCCAGCGTGCACACATTTGCTGCAACCAATCTTGACGACTTCTTTGCAACACTCTTGCTCAGCTAACTCTGTAATACGTAAGACAAACGAATTAGAGTCACAAAAAACATCTCTCCCGTAACCTATAATAAGCAGAAATCATAAAATTCTATTTAAAACGCTTCTTCTACACTACCTCTCAACGTTTTAGGGTGCTTTAGACAGACTTACAAACTAGCTTTTGCTCGTGACTCTTCTGCGTGGAATTAAAACCAAAATTCATCGAGGTTCTATTCTACCAGCAGTTTAGTCTACAAACCATAACAAACATCCATCCATCCATCTAAACTTTCGTATTACAATATTAGATTAATCAAGATTTTAAAAATAGAATAGAAAAAACCATTGGCCATCTATTATTAAAAAATGACAGAATTAAAAAAATGTAGACATACCTGGATCTTCTCCTCTCAGATCTTCAAAATCCGCGTCCTTTTTCAATTTTCTCCTAAATGTTATATTATCGTATTTCGCGTAATAATTCTTGATAGTTTTTTTAGGAAATTGGTATCTATTGACTGGAAGGTAATTTTACGTTTGAACTATGCCAGAAACGTCAAAATATTAAAAAGATTTCATTACAATAAATCTTTTTACACCTACCTTCAACACTGGAATACCATTTGTCAACATTATCTTGGCAAACGATTTGGTTAGCTATCTGCAAAATAATAAATACTAATGTACTAAAACTTTAATGTACAGTCGCCTTCTTTCGCAGTGTAGTTTTAAACCTATTATCGATTAAGCGACCAATCGTTGATGTACTAATGCTGGGTTACTTAAGTTTCTATTTATTTAATCACTAGCTGTTACTGACGACTTCGTCTATTTATTCGTATATTTTTTTCTATTTAGATCACATCATCAATATCATAAATAAACATTTATAATGACATCGACATCATATTGCGAAGTGCATGGCAATTTTTTATAACTGGCACACTGCGAACGGAGTTAATTGTACGTTAACATTTTTTCATATTTTATTCAGTTTAAAATACTTACCCAAAACAAAAGAAAAGCCTCTAAATAACAACATCTTCGTTGCATCTTCACGGACATAATGAAAAAGGAACCATAAAAATTGATAATCAAATAGCAATGTGCATATTCCAACCATTGCTAATTTATTTAATCAGATATTAATTGAACGGAACAAGACGATTTTTCATGTCTCTTTTCAAAAAAGCATGTTAAATACAAGACAATCACTAGTAATTTACTGTAGTACAAATTCTAAAATTTCTGGCAATTCACTAATGAACCTTTTTTTCTACAATTTTATGCAAAAACGTCAGTAATTCAGTTAAAAAAGTAAACTATAAACAAGAAACCTCATTTCGGTCGTATACTTTGCTTTTAAAATTTTTAAATCAGAGTAGCACTTAACTAAAGGGGAATTTGAAACGTTTCAAGAAAAAGTTGAATAAAAAACCATGCTCCTTGAAGCATTTAAGTTCTCACTAAAGAAAACTACATTTAAAATGGTACAAATGCTGAGGAAATTGTGTAAGTCGTTAATGTATAAGAGGTTTATTCTGCAATTTAAAGTACATTTTAATTAAATATTATAATTCGAATTAAAAGGAATATCAAACATTTAGACGTGTGTCAATCAACTCTGAGATGGTTCAAAATATCAGCTAAACTGTTGAGCTACAACTCAATTACTAAATTAGCAGCTCATAACTCATTGTACAATAACTATGAGGCAGTGGCTCGCGATTCACACAAATCATATGTACCTCTACAGGTAGATATCGAGCTTATTTGCGAACCCGCACACTGATCTGCTTCACCCATGCGAACAGTGAACTGATCTGCAGATCATCAATTTTAGTTGAGTTACTGATACATTATATTGTATATTTTAACTAGTAAATCGTAGTAAACCATCGTCATTTCTAGAAGTAAGTGAAGATAAGTTTTGGATTATAAGATAGACGTTTCTAGGGACTCGACAGTACACTTTTTTATAGGAAAAGCGGGCAAACGAGCAACAGATCACTTGAATTTAATTGAACCGACGCCCATGAACTTCGCAACGCGAAGGGTACTGGGTACTGTACGCTCTTTTCTTGAAGGACCCTAAGTCGTAACTGTTTAGAAATACCTCTGAGGACAGAGTATTCCACAACACGGGTGTACGAGGTAAGAAGGTACGTGAACACCTCGTCGTTGTGGAATGCCAACCATCGAGGTGGTAACGATGATATTTGGCACTCTGTCGACTCGAAAACTCTGTGCACTCTGCTAAGGAAACACAACCGAACCCTCACATGAACGCATCAAAAATCTCTCTTCAAAACATGTCTTGTAATAATGCAAATACCCATTTTAAAAACTCCACTTACATACAAGTTACAAAATGTATGTTTAAGTTACAATGTCAACTTTCTCAGCAATACTGTAAAGTAGGAATACCTGAAACTTTTATTAGTGAAGTGAACTTAAAAGTTCGCAACGGTCGTAAAGTTGTCGAAGTTAACTCGACTCCGCTGCAACATGCCATAAGTCGTCAACTATTTTACGATACTGCTAACTTAGTAAGACTAAGTTGGGTATCTTGATATCCTGAACCAGGTAACACTGTACAAATTAGGAACCAGCACATCTGCGAAGAAATTCAAACTCAGATGACAATGATCAAAAAGTATATATTTATCTATATCTATACAATATTATAAAGAGAAAAGGTTTGTGTTTTTGTATTTTTGTATGTATGGAAATAACTCAATAACTACTGGGTCGATTTCAAAAATTCTTTCACCATTAGAAAGCTACGTTATCAGGGAATAACATAGGCTTTATAATTTCACCAGCATTTAACAGCAAGTTACTTAAATAAAGGTTAAAAAAATCAATTTGAAACGACGTATTAAGTTTCAAGAAATTAAGTTAATGTATTTTATCTACAAATCACATAATATAGATTTTTTTATTTATGTTAAACGTAGCTTTTTTATTATTGTAATTTACCTTTAAAATCGTTTGTGTACAGGATATAGCCTCTCTTTGACTAAACTTTCGCAGAACTGTTTAGTCGCGCTTTGATTCCTATGAGCTTATATGGAGGTGCGCACACTACTCGATTTTTAGTTGTGGAACTAAACAGTTGAATTGGCTGCGAAACAATCGACAATCGCACAACTGTCATGCGATTGTTTAGTCAAAAAGTGTGCGCGCGCTCTTAAAACTTAGAATTTGTAAACTGTACAAAACAGTAAAAGTATTACTTTAAAAATGTACCATGCAATTTACAATATAACGCAGTCTCGAGTAGTAATGTTACTTTAGCACGCTCTTCGACCTCGCAAGCCTGTTGAAGTTAGTTCGTGGTTCACAGACAAGTGGCATCATGGCTCTTTTAACTAGTTTTCTTACTGGAACTACTTGGTATATACTTGAGGAGTTTTCTAAGAATAAATTACTGATGTTCAGTGTGTCGTGGAACTAAAATAATTTATTTTTAAAGTCTTACTAAAATATGGACCTGAATACGATTAAATCAATATACAATTTATAGTTAGATGGTTTTAGGTTATTTCGGAAATATAAAAGTTCAGGTTTAATGTTAGTTTTACACTTTTTTATTAATTTAAATGTCTTTAAAACAAATCTACTATGTTTCTATCAATTATTGCTAAAATATGTAAAACCATTATCTATACTTCTATACTATTATAATAAAGCCTAAACACACACTTCTTTGTATCCTAAGATGTCAGTAATTACAGCATATTTTTGAATAATAATTTTTTAATTAAAAGTCCCTACATTTACGTCACGCTTTAGGCTAAATACTTTCACGCCATTAAACTTAGAGGGTAAATATTTTGGATAAAAACCTTAATGTGGGAAAGAGACCATAAGTTGCTGCCAACATCAAGGAAGTAAGGTTGTCATCATGTCATGTCATTTTGACATTTGACACATGTAAACAATAAAATAAGATTTTTATAACTTTATGCAAATGAACGAATGTCGCACGGGAACAGTTATATAACAAATTCAATTATTTGTAGTAATGTTTTATTGTTCATAAAAATCCGTTTAAAATAACCCGAAAGAGGATTCTTTTTTAAAACAAAGCGAAAAATAACCAAAACTCATTACAGTAAAAAAAATCTGCAAAAGTTGTTGGCAATTTTATAAAGATCTTTCATTTTTCATTTGTCATCTTTGTGATTTCTTAGCGGCTTTGTATTCAAATTAATTCACAGACTCCATGAATCGTTTTAGCGCGAAATTTAGCGCGTTTTTATTAGCTTTTTCTGTTTTATGATGTCTACAATATACTTTCATTTTGTTTGTCATGAAATACTAACTTCCAACCGCGACTCCGTTCGTTTTATTTAAAAAAAAAAAATAAGTAGCTTATCAGTTCTTCCAGACTACCCTCTACCAATTCAAAATTAGATTGAGATCCGTTCAGCAGTTTAGGCTACAAACTTTAACAAACGTCCATCTAAACTTTCGCCTTGTTAATGTATTATGCATGTTATTACTAAGATTAGTAAGAAGAAAGATATTAGTAAGATATACTTCGTTTCTTATATAGTATTATTCTTCGGCCGCGAATCCGTTCGTGTAAAATTGTAAAAAAAAACAAAAGCGAGTAGCCGATGTGTTCTTCCAGACTATCCTCTACATCTATACCAAATTTCATCGTAATCCGTTCAACAGTTAAGGTTACAAACATCCATCCGTCCATCCATCTAAACTTTAGCATTTATAATATTAGTATGAAAGTATGATTAGTATGATTGTATACTAGGGTTTTACGCTGCTGTATTACGTAGGTAAATTAACGGACCTTCCTGGAACTAAACATTAGTGTCTAATAAAATAAATGTGCAATTTACATTTCACATATTTAAAAACGAAAAAGTCTTTTCTATTATCTATGCATTCGTTGGAATAACTAAGAAGGCCTGAGCAAACAGTTAGAGTTCTAAGCCGCGTAAAGAATCGACGCGTTGAAACAGATAAGGGGGAGTTTCATGAATTATTTACGCTTTTCTGTAGGTTTCGTTTCGCGACCCATTGTTCGGGATCTCTTCGTGTGAAAGGCTTGTTTAATGGAATTTTTATAGCATAGTATACTAGCATTCTTTCAAACCGTCATAACTACATACGTTGAATTTTTAAAGTAAAGAAAACGAAGATTTAAAGGCCTTCACATAAAAATAGTGTTTTAAATACATTTAAGGTAAAAAATACGTCAGTCCTTTTACACTGTAAATCTAGCGTTGTTAGTTTTCGCATTTAAACTTATATAAAAACATATAGATCTATCCTTTTCATTCCAATAAGCAATACAGAGATAGCTATATAATTTTTTTGCATAAGATTTTTTGTAAGAAATTTTGTTACATTTCGCGGAGGAAATCTGTAGTTACTTGTCCCTCACGCTTAATGCTTTAAAATATAAATTAAAAGGCACTATATTTTTGTGTTTTAGTAGAAATATAATTTTTTCATGAAAATAGGAACCTATGGAAAATAAACATATTGAACTGCGCATTTAATAAATAAAACCTCGAATTATTTATTCAACAGATGACGTTAACATAAAAATGTTATTTTAATTCGACATTGTTTTCAATACAAAGCGAAATTTTGCGTTAATTGATCGCTTTCAGTGAGCGACGGGAGCGGACAAATTAATTAATCTTTTTGTTCGATTTTCAAAAATGACAAATTTATTTTTACCGTCATCAAAATAATTCAAATACATATTCAACCTTAATACATTGCAATAAGGTTCAATAAATAATTCAGCATGTTTTTCAAATGTATATCTTTCGTTTGTTTTTTATTGTTTAGGCTTGTTTACACAGATGCAATATGTTTGCGTTGTTTTTAATAAAGATATAAATGTGGTAGGAAATGTTCTTGGACGTGTATATTATATACCGGATTGGTCGCTTCTAGACCAGCACGATGCTGCCCATCACGTTAGTACTGCTCGTTGTTACGGTAAGTTTTTTTTTAGTAAACTATCAAAGACAATTGCTGTAGCTTACTTTGACTACTGATATAATTAAAAAGAATAGTAACATCTGTAATCAATAATAACTCACCAAGAGAAAACATTTAATAAATCATTACAAATAGTAACTAGAAAATAACTAGAAAAAATAGAAAAAAAAGTTTTTTTTCTTTAAATAATTCATCGATCAAGTCCTAGGGGTACTAGCTGTTGAATATTCCTTGCCATTTATTAAAAAAAAACATACGTAAAAATTCCAAACTAAAAATATCTACGAAAGTATTCAGATTTAAGAATATCTTGAATAAGAAGAAAAAATCTTTTTATCTCCAATATTTCCTCTCGTACATCAACGAGCTATCAATAACCGTTTGCGACGAATGTTCTGATTTCCATACAAATATGTTCGCGGCTCGAATCAGGCACAATGCGTATTGAAAACGAGGCTTTGCCTCTGACATGTTGGTTTGTGAATTACAGATAAAAAAGCAATCTTCTCTCTTTATTCCGAGTTGTAAATTATTTCAGATCATTTTGCAAAACATTTTTGTGAAAGTTACTGTCAAATGTATTCGTTTATATCTATAACTAGCTGTTCCCGTGCGGCTTCATCCGCACTTAATTATGAAAATTTTATTTTATTGTTTACATTTGTCAAATTATGAATAGCAAATGTCAAAATGACATGACATGACATGTCTCTTTCCCACATTAGGGTTTTTATCCAAAATATTTACACCCTAAGTTTGATGGCATGAAAATATATAACCAACAATAAAAATATATAACAAACAATTATTCAAAAACCCGGTTTATAATATTAGTTAAATGTCAGTTTTGATTAGACCTTTTTACGAGTGTTGTAAAAGTTTCACAGCAATTACGTAACAGTATGAACTTTTTTTATCTTTTTAAATAACTCGTACTATATTTCCGAATATAGTAACACCATGTAGATGTTAGATTTAGAGAACGCGTTCATATTAGCACATCAATCCACAGCTCTATGAATATTTAATTCTATAAATATTCATGCTCGAAAATCTCTCACAAGTACTGTCGACTGTGGATATACATTGCAATTACAATTTAAACATGGTATAAATAAAATTTAATAAATACTAGAATATTAGAGCAAGTTTGAGAGTAGCCCCAGTGGTTGAGAAATTAAGCAGTAAAAGGTTAGCATGGTATGGGCATGTTATAATAAGGCATGAATCGCATGTAACAAGGACGTTGGATATGAATATGAAGGTACACCGGTAGAGGTAGAAAGAGATGGATGGATTGCTAAAAGGTGACATAATGAAGAAGGGACTGAGACGATGGATGATAGTTATTTGGAGGACCCGATTAGAAACCCGACGACCCTACGGAAGCAGGATAAGGTAAGGGAAATGATGATGATGAAATACTTGAAATATACTTCAGGTAAATAAAAAGAAAATTGCAATCGATTATATTTAGTTTCTGATTTTTTTGGCAACGAGTATAATCGATTTTACACCAAAAGGTGATAGATATTCGTTAATTGACAGTCTTAGCAAAGTTTGTCAAACATTTCCAAATATTGGCAGTTGGTTAAACTCTGTTTTGCGTTGTAAGCCAGCTTCAGACAGCTCGCTCCCGTGGGATAGTCAACCGGACAGCTGTCATCATTTAATCCCTTGCATTGGGATTACTATTTCAGTTAGCACCGAACTACATTTGAATAAATATTTATTTTTAACTGAATTTCTTATAAGTCTGATTTTGTAAACTAACGTGGGTGTAAAGTGATGAAGTTGATGTCAGAATTAGGTTTTTTCTTACCTCTACACTAAGGTATTCTTAAATTACTCATAATTTAGAGGTTCGCTTCTAAACATGTGAAAACACTACAATTTATTTTACATTTGCCTGCTTTGAAGATAGGTCGGCCAATCGTAGCCAACTTCCAGTCTACTATCTTAAGAAGTCTACTTCTAGTAGACTTTATAATGCCAGAAGATGAGGTAATTAAGGACATTTTATTGTTACAGAGCGTATTTGCTGCTCCATCAGTGACCGTCACCCAGTACAACGTTAATGACATCCCTCCTGTCGCCGACAATGGCAAACCAAGGTAAGAGATCCTTCTTTAACTTAGTCTGCTTCAATAAGAGTAGTTAATAATTTTCAAAGAGATCCTTAGATTAATAGCGCGCGCCCACCTGAAACTAAACTATCGCACAACTGTTTAGTCCCGCTTTGATTCCTATGAGCTTATATGGAGGTGCGCATACTACTTGATTTTTAGTTGTGCAACTAAACTGTTGAATGAGCTGCGAAACAATCGACAATCGCACAACAATTGTGAGATACTTTAGTCAAAGGTGTGTTCTCACTCTAAGTCTAGAACATTCTAAGAAAATAACAGCAGTTGGTATTAAAAATCATGTTTCCTTTAGCTCAAGCATCGAGAATGCGTTCGACGTTCTGAGCGACGGTGGCGACACCAACATCTACATCCTAACAATCCGTCAGATCCTCAACGATCTGGCTAACCAGTCCGACCCTAAGAGCCAGGCGCTCGCTGTCGGTCAGGCCATCGCCATCCTCGGCGAGCTGGTCTATGGTAACCCTGGTGATGCTTGCGCCGCCGCTGAGGTAATGTATTACCCATTAAAATTATTAGAATGATGTGATAGAGGAACTCAAAATAATGGGTCTAAGTATTCTTGCGATACTTGATCTTCTCCATCAAGTGAAATACAGCACACATTTTGTAGCTTTAACTTGAAACATATGCGTAATACGAAAACTAGAAGTTTGAGTTAAAATTTCATAAAGAGTTGGAAAATTAATTGTAAATATCTCAAACTTGTGAACTTTATATGAGAATGGACTGTTGTGAAAGAGAGAAGAAGGCGATGAACTTTTACCTACATTTTTAATTTAGTGGATAATTCTAAATTCAAATTTCTTTAATATTTTATTGTTTTCTAGCTTGTGAACGCATACACTAGCGGCAACAAAGCGGCTACTCGCGTCGCTCTCATCAACTTCATCCAGAGTCTGGTCGCCAACATCGATGCCTTCGTCCAGCTTATCTTGAACCCCAACTCCGTCAGATACGGTGTAAGTAGCTTCTCCTACCAACTCTAAAGGGAGAGAGATCGTAACTGCCATTCCATTTCATAATGTTTTTCAACTTACGAGACGACCCGATTAGATTTATGGTTGCTACAAAATAATTCTGACAACTAAATATACATTACTCACATTCGTCCGCGACGCCGTCCGCGTGGACTTAAAAAAACAAAAGTGAGTGGCCTATGCGTTCTTCCAGACTATCCTATACATCTATACCACATTTCATCGAAATCCGTAAAGCCATTACTACAAACTCTAACAAACATCCATCCATAAACTTTCGCATTTATAATATTAGTATGATTAAAAATGTGCCGTTATCTTTAAAGTTAAAAAGATTATGTTGAAGATGGTGAAATGACAAATTAACCGATGGTAATAATGCATTATCTTGAAAAATATCTCAATAAATCTGTTTAATAAAACATTTGAACGTTTCTTCTAAATACAGTGAATATAAAATCCTCTGCATAAATTCAAGCACATTACAAGCTTGCAATATATTAATAGTTTCACTGCATAAATCCCGAGACTCCATTTATCTCCGCAACCGATTCCCCGCGCAACTAAACTGGGATTTACATTGTTATTGATATTAATGATTTCTTCCACTCTTTGCTATGCAATGATTAATGATACAGCAACTTTAACCATTACCGCAACTATTAACTAAATAACGTATTCACTTACTTTTAATGATGATATATTTAAACTGTTGATTAGAAATATTGCTGTTTATTAAGATATCGACCCTTAAATAAATTTATAGTTAAATAATCTAAAAACTAATATTAATTTAACCAATAATGTGACGATACATTGTTTAGTAAATTTTAAAAGAAAAGATCCAAGTTTAAGACAAGACTCTCTTGGAACACGTCTGTTTATTATTAAGTTAGGCCGATATTACACATAAGTAGCCGGTACTCTTGCATTACCAGATACTGGAACGAGCCAGGGACAGTCATTGCAAACTCTGTCATGCCAATTACCAACCCATGTTAACTGGTATGTGTATTCCAGTCCGAAATGTATCATTTAGCAAATTAAAACAAAAGTATAAAATACGAACGGTTTTGATAACTGAATTTCAAGCGCTGTACCGAGTGTTCTTTAATTTTCATGATCTTGAATGCAGAGTGGTAGACGCGGCAACTGCGTGGGAGGAGGTAGGAGTTACAACTTCGAGGCTGCATGGGACTCCGTGCAGTCAGATGCCGACCCATTCCTTTCAAGGTAAATATAAAAGAACAAAATTTAGTTTCTTAAATCGGAATAACAAAAATCGAATTGGTAATTAATTTAAATAAACTATTAAGGTTGAAATTAAACAACTGCAAGCATATTCTTCTAATTCTACTCGTGCTTTTTGGAAAGAAAGAACTAATGAGATGATTTTATATAAATGTTCCAAAGCAATTCACTGTTCTGGTCAATGTTCCTAGCTACTAGCTACAAAATGAAATTGCAATTTATTCATTTCTGGTAAAAGATACATAAATTTACCTTTTCAGTTTGTACAACGAGGAATACTGTGCTGCTAAGAGGCTGTACAACGCCTTTAACATCCGTAGCAACAATGTAGGCGCAGCCGCCACCGCAGCCTCTTTGTCACCTGTCACTGAAATCGTACAGAGAGCTTACGCAGCTCTCGTTAACGTAAGTCTTAAACCTTGGTTTCACTAAGTAGCTAACAGAGCTCTCACCGTAAATGCTATCTCTGTTACCATTATATGTTCTATTTTCACTGGTGTTTTTGGTACTCACAGGTAATACGACGGAGCTTATAAATTATTGTATTTTTAACGATTTTAATATGATCTATCGCTCAAAGGGTGTTTGAATTGTTTTTAAACTGCCACTGTACAAATCATTAAACCTGAGATAGGCTCTGAAGATCGATTATTGGGTTGAACCGGTAATAGCGTGGCTTAATTTGTTGTTATTTGGTTAGAGAGGGCGCACACCTTGACCAAAACATCGCATAACTGTTGTGTGTCAATTGTCCATTGTTTTGCAGCCCATTCAACTGTTTAGTTGCACAACTAAAAATCGAGTAGTATACCTCCTCCTAGCTTATATGACTGAAGGCTAGACTAAACAGTTGTGCGATATTTTAATTGTGGGGCGCTCTTCGCATACCATAACATTTTTTTATCTCATTTCAGCTCTTGGGCGCTATTGGAAACAACGGTAACGTTATCGGAGCTGCCGCGACCGCTAAAGTCGAACTTAAACGAGCAATCGTTTAAATATAACAGTTATTACCAACATGACATCGTATTACCAACATAAGACATATTACCAAACATGTCTAACCAAGTATATAGCATTTATAGTATACACGTATAGAATCAAATTAATAGTCAATGTTGTAAATATTATATATTGTATATAGCAGGATTATTACTATTATTTATGTAAATATAAATCATATAATAAACAACGACACGGCTTTTTATTACGGAAATGGATTTTTTGTTTACTGACGATTTCCAATAAAGATGTGTTCTTATTTTGTATTGGTTGTTTTATTTATACTGAAATTAGTCGTAAAAGTAGTGTAAAGGTTTTTTTTTTTATTTCTGATTTAAAATAACTATGCTCTACTTCACTATTAATATTTCGGTATTGAATATAGGAGAGCGGTGAACATCATTTACTTAAAATATAGCCTAAACTAAATATTTTGGTAAATTACCAACACGTCGGAAAAATAAAACTTATTCTAAGTAACACGTTTCAGGCCCGCTGCGTTAACATATATTACATAATACATTCAGTACAGTCGCGGACATCAGCGGCGTTCTACTTTTAGAAAAAATGCGTTGCTACCCACAAAAAGACCAACTTGGTCTTTTACAAATAACCAATTAGGTAGCAGTAAGTAACGCAAACAAAAGGAAAATAATAAAAAGCAATTATCCGTGTACCGATCGACCTTTTTTCATACAGACAATGTCCAATTGGTTATTGTTACGTCATTTTTTTTTGTGACTGAATGGCCACTGTTTGCCTTGAAGAGGCATTTACAGATTCACCGGGCTTGAGGTGGCCGAGCGCAGATGGCGCTTAGCCTAAACCTCGTTTATGAGTAGCTAAGCTCGAGGGCTCCCCCAGGAGCCACAGCACGAGCCGTTACTTCGTTATTATTACCGAATTGGGTCGTCGTCTCGATGCGTATAAAATGTTTGAGGGATTGTAGCTTTAAAGTTGAAACACTAACAGATTTCCTGATTGTACATGTTTATGTATGTTAGGCTCTAGCTGTGAACTTTACAAGGTGTTAAATCATGTAAGCTTCATATTGAGACTGCTAGCCGGGTGAGCAACCCTTTAATTTTGTTAGGACTTCATACCAGCCGCACATTACTGTACTCCGTAGAATTTACGACCAGACTAAATTACATTTTCTGAATAAGAACAGAATACGCCGAGAAATCCTAACCTTAAATTTACAAGACAAAAAACATTGTTATATTATTTTTTAAGAGCGAAATAACTAGTGTTTTGTACGAAAACACTTCTTACATCCATGGTCCATCCATGGATATCCAAGGTTATTTTTAATATTTGAATAAAAACTCTTTTATATTATGCCTTACTAAACTCTTTTATGAATTTCATCATAATGCGTTAACGATTTGATATCAAAAAGCATCTCAATTGAATTCTCATTGCTTCTAACAAAAGTGAAAATATTTTTACTAATATTATAAATCTGAAAGTATGGATGGATGGGTGGATGGATGTTTATTAGAGTTTGTAGCCTAAACGGCTAAACGAATTTAGATTTCTAGGTGGGATAGTGTTCAAGCGCTGGTTTTGCGATTTAAAAAAAAGATGAAATTTGACATAGTAAAGGATAGTCTGGAAGAACACATAGGCTACTCAGTTTTGTTTTTTCAATCTCACGCGAACAGAGTCGCGGGCGAAAGCTAGTGTGATGTAAATTCAAAGAAACTTTTAAGTTATAATAGAAATGTTAGGATTTACTCGCGGCATTCCGCAATCTGAACCAATCAAAACTCTTAATGCCCTAATCCATTGAACAAATTAAATCTCGCTGCAATCCCGGCTGCAAGATGGATCGCAATCAAGATGGATAAGACTTTCTTGTTCTTACTCGAACGTAAAATGCCTTGCATTGGAAATGCTATTTGTACAATCTTATAAAATACCTTTGTTTGTAATGGTAAACGATTTAAAATGAGTAATTTAAAATTAACGATGTACTTCTACGACTGTATTAAACCAATTTATGTCTAGGTAGAGCTGTAGATAGATGTTTGTTAGAGTTTGTAGCCTAAACTACTGAAGGGATTTTGATGAAATTTGGCATAAATGTAGAGAATAGTCTAGAAAAACACATAGATCACTTACTTTTTTATTTCACGCGGATGGAGTCGCAGCTGAAAAGCAGAGTTATCGACTAATATTTGCGCCCTTATTTACACGCAATTAATGCTGTCTAATCGTCCGTTTTGCACTGTATTAACAATTATCATTATTCTAATTAAAACGCATTGGAGCGTAATATTCAATTTCGTTATGAAATAAAGCCGATCTAACGCACCATTGATTAATAACATTACGAGTAAATACAACCAAATAGATTATAATAACCCATGTTTTATAAACTAGCTGTTGCTACAGACTTCATTCGCGTGAAAAAATAAATAAACAGCGTAGCTCACTGATAACGTAGCTTTTTAATTTTGAAAGAATTCTTAAAATCAGTTTAGTAGTTTTTGAGTTATTTCAATACATACAACAATCTATACTAATATTATAAAGAGGAAAGATTTGTATTTTTGGTTTTTTGTATGTATTTAATTCACGCAAAAACTACTGGGCCAATTTTAAAAAATTCATTCACCATGAGAAAGGTAATTTATCTGTGAGTAACATAGGCAATATTTTTTATATCACGCGGACGAAGTCGCGAGCAACAGCTAGTTCTTTATAATCCTATGCTATATAGAAGTAAAGATAAGCACTCAAATAACCTAGAAAGGTAAACCATTACCATTTATGTCACATATATTCATATTTCAATAGCAGACACGATGCAGCACCTCGTGAATCTATTGAAAAACTTTAGTCGTTGTACTAAAATTACTGCCATTAAAAAACTAAGATTTTAATTTTAATTTCTTAATACCACAAACCCTTTCTGTCGTCCTTCGTATATCATATTGAAATTTAATCACAAACTATCGACTAGCTTAGGAATTTACTGTGAACAAATTATAAGAAAAAAGAGAATCTTTAACATCAGTATGAATCATTAATCAATACTAATATAATAAAGCGTAAACACACACTTCTTTGTTGCCTAAGATGTCAGCAATTACAGCATATTTTTGAATAATTCCTTATTTATTGAAAAGCCTTACAATTACGTCACGCTTAAGGCAATATATTTTCACGCCATTAAACTTAGGGGGTAAAAATTTTTGATAAAAACCCTAATGTGGGAAAGAGACCGTAAGTTGCTGCCAACATCAAGGGAGCAAGACAGTCAAGGTTTGTCATGTTATGTCATTTTGACATTTGCTATTGATAATTAGACAAATGTAAACAATAAAATAAAGTTTTCATAATTTCATGCGGATGAAGCCGCACGAGAACAGCTAGTGTCTCATAGAATTGAAAAATATTAGGTTCAACCTAACAGAGTAAAAATATCTCATACTAGCCGTTGCTCGCGACTTCACTCGCATGAAATTAAAAAAAAACATTATAGCCTACATTACTCAGTGATAACATAGCTTTTTAACAAAGCAAGAATTTGAAATCGGTCGAGTAGTTTATGAGTTATTTCATTACATACAAAAATACAAATCTTTATGTAATGTAGTAGGTACATGTAAATTATTAGTCTCTAAGTACCGCAGTTTACTGTATATTGAATTCAGTCGAATTACACATCTTGAGCTTACGCACGTCTTTTATTTCGTACACCACACTTTATAATATTAATTTAGACAAATAATACTGAGATCCAGTGTGCTAAAACTATTCCGAAGTTCGCGGAATGTTACATAGTTTAATAAGTAAGGATAAGTAAATACTTGGGTTCCTAACTACCGCCAGTAATCCTATTACCGCCCAGTGGAGCGCGTAATTTAAAAACGAGCTACGGATTGAACAAGATTGAACTATGGAATATTGAGATACAAAGAGATTAAAGCTTTATGTATTACCTAGCTTACGACCGCGACTCCGTCCGTGTAGAATAAAAGAAAACAAAAGTAAATAGCATATGTGTTCTTCCAGACTATCCTCTACATCTATGCCAAATTTAACCGAGATCCGTTTAGCCGTTTAGGGTACAAACTCTAGTAAACATCCATCTAAACATTCGCATTTATAACATCAATTAGCTTTTCCATATGCTTGTAGCTGAATTGAACTTATCATTTGCATGTAAACATGCAAACTCCTAGTATTTATTTCCGCCCTTAATAAACAATAGCATAGCACCATTTGCTTCATTTATAGCTTATAAAAAAAGAACACATCAGAGTAATCAACCAAGATTTTTAATCAATTCCTTTAGATATCTGATATCTTTCTTATCGTGAATTTCTTCCTCCTCGTTGTCGATCGGCGCCGAAGTTCTCGACACAACTCTACGCCCCGGCAGCTCCATTATAAATGATCTGATCTGTGTCATATCAAACATGAATAGAAAATAAAATGCTCAACTTTGGTAGAGTTTACTTCAACACGAACATGCATAAGCATGTATATTCATCTATTTCAGCTTTTTTAAGTCGTAGAACATAGTAGTTATAGTGCCGTCTAAAGTTTAAAGCTGGCTGCACACAACCAACGTTAGAGACAATGCTGCAATACAAAAGTCATAGTCAAAAACAAAGTTGGCAAGGAAGAAAAGAGACGGCAAAAAAAACAACGTCAGGGAAGGGCGTTATTGAGCGAGCGCCTATAGCGCTATATGTGCGAATTACTCTCACATAACGTTTTCAACTTTATCTCTAGTAGTAGTAAAAATCCGTTTTATAAAACTGTACTTATTTAAATAAATTTAAACATACCTTTTGGTTGACAGCCCTGAAATTCTGCAACAGTTTCAGGGACGATCTCTTCTCAGTCGGATGTGATATTTGATAAAGACGAACAGCTCGGTGAAACTGCGAAATGTAAATATTCTAAGTCATTTTTACTCTAAATTGCTCTCATATTAATGTACAGTCGGAAAAATCCGCGGTGTTCCACTTCAGAAAAAAAAGCCTTTTTTATTACGAGTCAAACTCCGCCTCCTACAAATAAATAATCAGATAGCAGTGTGTAATACAAACAGATGGATAATAATAATAAGAAATTAGCCGTCTATCACTAACCGACTTTTATTTCGTATGGATACATTTATAAATTGTAATTGGATTAGTTTGGGTTCCGCGCCTCATTTCAAAATGTTCAAACGATTATAGCTTTAAAGGTGGAACACCGCCTGTTTCTCCGATTGTACTATGTACGTAAACGGTCAACATTTGTTTTGTTTTAATTATTTCCCTACTTACTCTTTCCAACAGACACCACGTATCTCTATATTGTTGCAAGAAGACCAATGGTGTCAGTATAGAGGCGTAGAGTGCTGCCTCTCTATCCAACAGGTCCTCTCCCTCTGACATGCCGTGGATAGTCGCACGGTACTTGTGTAGGAACGCCGTATTCGCGTGGTCTTTATCGAAACTGTTAAGATTAGTAAAAGTTAAATTAACTCTAATAAGGGTGAGTTGCATCAAATCGCTGGTTATCGTAAAAGTTATAATAGGGTTACAAGTGCAAAAACATATTCTCACAGAGGTTTTATG